ATATAGTTCATTTTGTAATGTGATGTACATTGAATAAAATGACTGCATTTACTTGCCTTTCCTCCCTTCATTCCTGGCTGCCCTTCCCCTCCCCCCCCACACCAATCTTGCCCACCTCCCAAAACATGTTTGTTCAGGCTTTTTTTTGAACTGTAGATAAACCCATTTTCTGATTACTATGACAACAGGAGACTAGGCCCTGCCGAGTTGCTATGACAACAAATAGCCGTCCATACCCTTCAGCTGTAATGGATTTTCAACCTTGGTCTTCTAGGTTGATTGGTTCATGTCCTTCTTTAGTCTGATTTGGGTAAATGTACATCTGTATCTTCATCCAGGTTGAACTCATTTCCTACACTGCTTGATTACAGTCTGCATTTCTTTCGCTCTTGGCAGCATCATCATCTTGTTATTGTATTCTACCTGATTGGGTTTTGCATTTTCTTTCAGTACCTTTGGCCACAACACTCAAGTTTCATGTTGCTGAAAGTATCTTTCTCTAATTTCTTCATGTTCCTTTGAATGATCACCTTTAGAACTTGACTCAGAGTCCCATTAGGGCTTTGTAACTTGATTATGAAAGTTCCCAGGCAAGCCACCACACTGAACATCTAAGAGCCCTGTGTTCTTATTGTAACGAGAGATGACTGAGTGTGCTTGCTCTTGAATTTTGTTGTTGAATTGCTTTCAAACAGACCTGAAGGGTAAATCACAGTAGAACAGATAGAAAGTAGGTATGAGTATGTGTAAGAACATCATGAAGTCACGGCTAGTGACTACTATTTATTGTGACCACTACTATTTATGGTACTACTATTTATTAATTTATTTATTGTTTTGATTTGATTTTGTTTTTGTTTACTCAGAATGTCTTGAATGATAGCAGTCTATCTTATTGGTGGATATTCTATCCTGCGAATCTAATTTTCTTCTTCTTCTTGTTCTCTTCTTTAGTATAGTTATTGAAAGTATGTTGTGGAACCAGTGAACCTAGATTGAAATTGCAGTTCTGCAGGTTTTTAGCAAGTTACTGAACATCTCTGAGCCTTATGTAGGCAAAATCTCCCTTGCAGTGGTGCTATGAGTCTTAAGTGAGACACAGCTTGCTAACTGTATAGTATAGACCTAGGAGTACATATGTGCTCAAATACTTTTTAACAGTTTTAGTTACAATTGCTATTCTTGTTGGGTTTTGTCATTTGTCCTTACCCTTGATCTGTCTTTCTTTACTCGCCACAACTTGTTGAATTCTGGGGCCTCTTTTGGTTCTTCTAAGCTGTACATTGCGTATATTCTCTATGTATTTCTTCTACCATGTAAATATTAGAGGCATAATTTACTGGCCATTTATTTTAAAAATTTCTTCTTTTTGGGCTACCTTTTTTTTTTGGTTCCTGAGCATGCAAATGAGATGAATTCTCTCTACCTTGAAGAGTCATTACTGGTATTTAATCTCTCTCTCTCTTTGTCTCTCTCTCCCTTCCTCCCTCCCTCCCTTCCTCTTTTGAATTTATGACATTATTAAGTAGTTGTACAGTGGAGTTACCATTCACCAAATCTACTTACGAATACAATGCATCTTGATTGATATCACCCCTTTCATCGTTCTCTCTTGAATCTTGAGAATTCCCAGCAATTGAGGTGACTTGGGAAGGCACTGCCTGTCAGTTGTCCCAACATTATTTCCTTGGTTCCTAGTTTGTGAAGATTCACCTTCTTACCTGTCCTTTGTGATTATAATGGTGGTTATCCTCTGGGAGTGGTATCTGACAAAGAGATGCTGATCACTGACTGGTAGAAACTATGATTTCCATCCTCCACCATTTCCTGCTCCTCTATATGTCTAGTTATGTTAGGGTTTTGCTTAGGTGGCTTCATTTATAGGAGATGGCCAACAAGGTGATCTTGACAATGATTTGATTTCAAAGGCTGAAAAACCATGAGAAAAGTTAACAGCATTAGTATGGTATTCTTACACACTGAGCAAGAATAAACTGGCTTGGTTCTACCAATGTTCTCAAGCTCAGGGCAAAACCAGGTTAGCCATAGCCAATTTCTTCCCTCACTTTTCAGAATTGTAAATGAACACCAAGGCTAAATGAACAATGAGCCGTGAAGATGAAGCACATAATTTTGTATAATGGAATATGGAAAAGTTGTCCAGGTAAGTATTTGTTATAGTCATTATGTATTCTTATAATGTTAATAATACTTATGAAATACCTGATGACAGACATTTTGAAAAAAATTGTTTCTTTTAATCCTCACTCTTCATGAGTTATCTTCAATTTTACAAGTACATTGCCAAGAGTCACGTGACCAGCACATGTTAGGCCAGGACATAGACCTATATTTTCCTAAGACCAAAGAGCATACTTATGTCCAGGCAGGCAAATAGGAAATGAGTAATCACTGGTGGGATGTTTCCATGCCGAATTAAAAACAAAAATTGTATCCATAGTGGAAATCAACAGAAAGTAGACTAAAGTGGTATAGTGTCTGCCTAAATATATGTGAGATCTTGAATTCAAACTCTCCTATGAGCAAAAATAAAGAAACAAAATTAAAGAATGAATGGGTGCAAAGGATGGAAGGAAAAAAGGAAGAACTGATTTAAGGAAAAATCTTTCAACTATTAAGGGATTTCCTCACAATGCCCTTTAATCCATGGCGTAAATAAGCCAGGGTATAGAAGTAGACCCTCTCTTTCCCCAAAAGAGTAAGAAGTTGTATCAGTCCTTTTGCCCTAGATGTTATTCCTTTCCTAACAGCAATTGATAATATACTACGTGTGACTTGATGGTTAGTGAGAAGAAACTGCAGCTGAGTTTGGAACAGAGAGACCCTTCAAAATGGGGTAGGTCTTGGTGAGTGTCCTCTAGTCACAGGGCAACAAATTCTTGAGGGAGGAGAGAGAGGAAATGGAAAAAGAAGTGGAAACAGGTCTCTCCCTCTCTTTCCTTTTGCTGACCCTGAGAGCTGCTGTTACCAGAATCTTCCATCAGCCCTTAATGTGGGGAGAAAGAGAGTTTTGAATAGAAAATACTCAGCAATCCTTGGATTTCAAAATGCATCAGGCATAATTTTTCCTTCCTTAAACAATGGAGATTTATGAATTCTGCTACCAGATCCAGTAGGAGTGGTGTGGCCTTAAAAACCTGGGTTTTTATGTGTTCCAGTAGGAGATTATGGTATAAATAGTCTGAGTACCAAACTTTTGGACACTTTGGCTAGGAACTTCCTCCATTGGGCTATTACACAAGGCTACCATTCAACCCAGAATATGATCTAGAAGCCTCTTTGAGGTATAGACTTCATCGCTGATCCTTCTAGGCTTGGTAAAAGAAAGGTTTTCTATCTTTGAAAAGTGTGTTGAATCTAACCAATGGAAGCTGTTTAAGACTTAGAAAGTTCTGTCTCAGGGACAGGCTGTCCTACTCTTTGTTTGTTTCTGGCCTCTTCTCTTCTCCTGGCTCATTTTGTAGGAATGACAGAGGAAGAACAGGCCAGCCACAGAGCTAGAGGTAGAAAGAGAAACCCCAAAACCAAAACCGAAAACCAAAACACACACAAAACAAAAGTCACAGTGAAAAAATAAATTTGATTGGCTATATTGGAAAAAGAAAAAGCCAATCTCAGGCAAATCTAGTAGCCATAACTCTCCCCGCATAGCCACTGCTGTGTGTCTACACATCACTAACCCTGGTCAATAGCTCCTGGCTGGGCCATGATGTCTCCATCCAATGGAAGAGCTCTGTGTGTGTGTTTGATTTGCCTGTGGGAGTGGTTCCTTTTTTCCTTTGTGGTCTAGCTTCTTTGGCTCATTTTCTGTAGCTATGGGAGGCTGAATGGCAGGTAACCTCACCAGCCTGAGAAATAATTCCCCTGTGCCTCATTTTTGTGGAATTATGTATGCCCAGAATGGTTCTCAATGTGTGTGTGTGTGTGTGTGTGTGTGTGTGTGTGTTTTAAATTGGAGAAGTTAAATCTTAAAACAGTTCCTTGGGAGGACAAAGATGGGGAAATACCAGAGAAAAGGATTCTGGGAGGCCTTACCTTACTCCATGGTTTTCCTGTTTTCTTAGCTTAGAGAGAACTCTATTATATTCTAGCTGGACTCAGTTTGGAAAAGGAGAATGTGTTTTCTTAAGTGAGGTCCCAAGGGTAGAGTTCAGCCAGTTTAGCTCTTAGCTCAGGCTTTGGGATGAAAGAGGACCTGTTAGAGACAAAGCTCTGTTTGAACTGGAGTGACTCACAGGAGGTATCCGAGGAGAAAATGAGTAAGTGTCCTGGACAAGTATAGCCTTCAATGGAGGGTATACTAGATAAGCTGAATCATTCTGTTTTTGGTTTTTGAAATAGTCTAAAATATTTAGAAGGACTTTTGTTTGGTGGTGCATTTACATTATAGGAATATGCTTTACATTATAGGAATATGCTCTAACACTGAGCTACATCTCTAGCCTTGACAGGGGTGTGTGTGTGTGTGTGTGTGTGTGTGTGTGTGTGTGTGTGTGTTAGTCCTGGGACTTGAACTCAGGGCCTGGGCATTGTACCAGAACTTCTTTTGCTCTCTACCTCTCTACCACTTCTTTTGTACTCTACCACTTGAGCTACAGTTCCCCTTCTGGCTTTTATTGGCAGTTGGTTGGAGAAAAGAGTCTCATGGACTTTCCTGCTGGGGCTGGTTTTGAACTGCACTACTCAGGATTACAGGCATGGGCCACCAGCACCTGGCTCTGACGGGAGGTTTTAAGAGGAATTCTGAAAGTGATTTTAAGCCATATGACATTGTAGAATAAACACTTATAACTTTCAGGTAAAGAAGAGAACAAGTTCTTGTGGATGAGCAAATGCTGACATTTGTCAGAACTCAGCAATCACCCTGCATGTGATTGGATTCCAGAAGGTTTCTCTATCTAATTTTAGTTTGCATATATTAATATTAAAAGTTATTTGCAGTTGTTAAAAACACACTAGCTAATGATATGGTTGTGAGGATGGGAGGGAAAATGATCCAGAAGCTTCTCAATGGAGACAAGGCCAAACCTGAATCATTAAGGATCACTGATGTAAGATAGTTCTTGGAAGGGACATTAGCTTTTTCTTTCTTTTTTAATGTTGTGTATTTATATAGGTAGAAGGATGTTTTCTTAGCCTAAGATTTTGGAAACATGGGTAGGAGATTCTGGAAGGAAGGATGAGAAGGAGAGAAGAAATCCTGGCCTTTCCCTTATAGTGTGACAAAGTATTTCTCACACTGCTGCTAAATGACCTGGAAGCAAAAAACACTACAGAGGAAGATGTGAGAGAGGATTTATTTGCTTAAGCTTCAGTCTAAATTTTGTGTCATGGAAAACTTGACATCTGGGTTTGTCTCAAATAGATGTATTTAAAAAGCTAGAAAATGCGCTCTTCTTCCTGCCAGTGATGCTAGCCCCAAAGGGTGACGGTTCCTAAAACCAGCTGGGCTTTCTGTAAGAAATGTGGCAAGCGCTTGATTCCATAAAGTGACACAGGGCAACAAGGGCAAGGATTCCCTGTAGGCCCAGGGAAAATGGTGTTATGTGAAGCTGATTTTCTGAACTAAAAGGCTAAAACTCTTGCAAAGATTATACTGTTGAACCCAACTACTGATCTAATTGAACTGGGAGGAGAGAGAGCCAAGTGATTTCCTATTAAGCATCATCTTTTGTTTTATTATGAAGATAATATCATTCGGATATGTGAGGAAAAAAGAGAAACATACAGTGACTGGAATACAGGGCAAAGGTGATTAAGAGTATCAAGTAGTCCCAGTCGTAAGGCCTTGGAGTTGAAGAATCAGAGATGCTCTCAGAGTAACCATAGTACCCATCCAAACTCTACACCGCTATTATTCTGAGACATAGGTTTCTTTGGAAACTGTTCCTTTAATATTCATATGATGGGACCTTTACATATAATAACATCTAATATCAACCAGGTGTGCATAGTGTGCTAGGTAGTATTCTTTGCCTCATATAATCCTTGAATGTGTATGAAGACCATCTATTTCTTCTCTCATTTTACAATGAGAAGTATGTGATGCACAGAGACGAGAATACCTTGACTCCAGGTTATGTAACGAGGATAGGAGAAGGAAGATGGAATCTGGCTTAGGAGGCATGTTCTTCTCTACTGCCCTGTGGACTTGCCCTCATTGGATGGGAGAAGCCCTAGAGAAGCAACCTTCCACAGAGCCTAGCCTCCTAAGATGGGACATTCTTCCTTCCATGATTTAGCCAGTAACCTGATTTTGTTAAATACAGCACCTGCTTTTCTTACCTTGAAACTATGGCTTCAATTGAGGTCCAAGGGCTGCAGATTCATAAAATCAAAGTATCACAAAAAGAAAGCTAGCAAAGGAATGAAGTCAGATCTCTACCTCACACCAAATAAAAAATTAGCTCAAAATGAATTAGAGACTTAAATATGTGAAAACAGAAAGTATAGAAAACGGAAGAAAAAAAGACATAAATCTTGCAACCTTGGATTAGGTAGTGGTTATATAGGAGCCCAAATATGTGCGGGGGGGGGGGGATAGACTTCATCAAAATTTAGAAACATCTGTCCATCAAAGGATGTTCTCAAGAAAGTGAAAAGGCTTCTCACAAAATGCCAAGAAAAGATTTCTGAATCACATATCTGATAATCATATACCTAAACAGATAAAAGACTGTTACAGGGAAATAATGAAAAGACAAATAGCTCAATTAAAAAGAAACAAAAGAGGTAGTTCCCCTGGAAACATGTAAAATGGCCAGTAAGCATGTGAGAACAAATCACTAGGGAAGTGCCAATCAAAACAATAGTGAGTACCAGTTCACACCTACTAGGATGGATACAGTGAAGAAATACAGCTAATAAGTTCTGGTTACAATATAGGCAATTTGGAACCCTTATTGCTATGGGAATATCGTATACTTGCTTTGGAAAACTGTATGGTGGTTCCTTAAAAAGTGAACAACAAAAAGAGAATTATTATGAAATCTTTCTATTTATCACTATATTTTCAAAGAGATTGAAAGTATAGGTCTGTACAGAAACTTGTATATGAATTTTCATAGCAGCAAATTGTGCTTGATAGCTGCAAAATGAAAGTAATTAAAATGTCCGCTGATGGATGAATAGATGAGCAGGTGTGGTCATTTAAATGATGGAACATTATTTCCTCTATAAAAGGAAGGAAGTGCTGATACATGCTATTACATAGTGGCAAAATAAACCAGATCCTGGGATTCCATTGATATGCAATGTCTAATACCATTAGTCATTAGATAGACTCATAGACTAGACAGAAAGTAATTGGTGGCTGCCAGAAGTTGGGGAAGGGAAAAATGGAAAGGAACTGCCAATAGGTACTGGAGTTCTGGTTGAGGTAATGAAAATGTTCGGGAGTTGTGTAGTGATTAGAGTTCCATTCTTTTGAGAATATACTAAAATGTATTGTAACACAACATAAATAGAGCCATACTGAATTTTTTTTTTAAAGAAGCCTCATTGGCCCTTCTGGAAAAGCAGGAAATAGAGTCACAATTGACCATTCCAAAAAACACAATAGCAGGAAATTTTAACCAACTTCATTTTGAGGCCAGTTACCAAGGGTGAGTTCTCACTTCCTCTCTCCAACTTTGTAGCCCAAAGAAATGAGTAGTTGAGCTGGGGGAAGGGAGACGGAGGAAAGAAGACAGTGCCTCTGTTTTAATCTAAAAGTCAGCATTCTGTGACATGATCTGTCATACCCTCCAGAGACTTCACACATATTACAAAATAATAGCCTTTGGTCATGTTGTCTCTCCACACTTCTTTATTATTTCGTGCTGTACTGTGTTTTCCTCTGGCTGAGTTGTTCTTTGGTTTTGTCATATCTGTGTGTTTATTTATTTTTACAGATAGAGACTCACCATGAGCAAAGTAGAAGCCTACAGAGACCTGATTGTGGAGGGTAGATGCTGTCATTGTTTCTATATGGGTTTTGGTTGTAGCAGAATGTTGGGCTTATAAGATGAGTTATGAAACATTTCTTCAGCTTTTGTCTTCTGAAGGAGATGGGAGAGAATTGTTATTATTTCTTAGACATGTGATAGGATTTGCCAGTGAACACATTCAAGCTTTGTGTTTTCTGTTTTGGAAGATTATTAACGATGGACTCAATTTCTTTTATAGACATAGCTGTATTTATATTGCCTATGAAAAAAGCCCACCTCTTGTCTTAGATCCAGGCCAGAGCTAAGAATTAAATCAACATCAGATAAGACTAACAGTTTTACATGGCAGGGGGTGAAGCATAAGCAATTGAAGATGCAAGGAAGGGCTAGAGTAAACTGCTGAGACACTGGATTGAATAAAGAATAGGTGTGAAGCAGCAACTAAATCATGTATGTGAGGAACGTTCAGAAAATGGCTTAGTTTAACAGAGTCTGTAGAGAATTTTTTTTTTTAGTTTTGACTTCATGTTCTCAAAGGTTGGATTGTTATATCTTTCAGGTATAGGAAACACTTTTTATATGAGAATGTTAGCTTCTGCTTTTATAAAACAGGGCGGTAACAACACATACCTGCTAATTTTCAAGTGTCTTTAACTGAAGCAGTCAATATGACAGAATGGCAGATTTTAACCCTTCATCTAATGTTTTCCTCTGACAGTTTTGACACACTGAATCTCTGAAGGCATTAGTTCACTTCACCTATTATTACATCTGCAGGCATGGAATTGTTCATAGTATTCTTTTCTTATACTTCCAGTGTCTGTGGTACATGTAGTGATGACCTCTCTTTCATTTCTAGTGTGTAATTTGTATCATCTTTCATTTTCCTAGTGAGTCTGGTTGGAGAATTATTGGTTGTTCTGAACTTTTCTTTAAGGAGCCAGTTTTTGGTTTTATTGCTTTTTCTCATTTGATTTCCTGTTTGTAATTTCACTGACTGTGGTTCTAATTTCGATTACTGCTTTTCTTCTTCCTACTTTGATTTAGTTGGCCCATCTACTAGTTCTCTAAGGAAAAAAGTTAATATATTTTACATGTCCTTTCTTTTTTACTAGATTCATTCAATGCTATAATTTTTTCTCTAGGCACTGTTCTTGTTGCATTTGATACCTTTTCTTTTTTAGCCCTAGGACTTGAACTCAGGTCCTGGATACTGTTCCTGAGCCTCTTCATGCTCAAGGCTAGTGCTCTACCCCTTGAGCCACAGTACTACTTGCAGCTTTTTCTGAGTAGTTTATTAGAGATAAGAGTCTCATGGACTTTCCTGCTTGGGCTGGCTTTGAACCTCACTCCTCAGATCTCAGCCTCTTGAGTAGCTAAGATTACAGATGTGATCCACCAGTGCCTGACTCCACAACTTTTGATAAATTATGTTTTCATTTTTAGTTCAAGATGTCTTAGAGTTTTTCTTGAGATATACTCTTTATTTAGAAATATGTTGTTTATTTAGAAATATGTATTATTTAGAAATATGTTGTTTACTATGAACATATTTGGGGATTTTTTTCATGTTATTTCTGTTATGGATTTCTAGTCTAATTCCGTTGTAGTAGGAGAGAGACAGTCTATGATTCCTATTCTTTTAGCTGTGTTAAGGTGTAATCAACATGATCTATCTTGGTAAATGTTTCAGGTCAGCTAGGAAAAAAATGTGTATTTACAGTTACTGAATGAAATAGTCTAGAGATGTCAATTATATCTAACTGATTGCTTGTGTTGCTGAGTTCAACTACTCTGTCTCTCTATTTCTAACAGGGTATTGAAGTCTCCAACTTTAACAGTGGCTTCATCTATTTCTTCTTGCAGTTCTAACAGTTTTTGCTTTTTTTGGGTCAGTTGTGGGGCTTGAACTCTGGGCCTAGGTGCTATCCTTCAGCTCTTTAACTCAAGGTGAGTGCTCTACCATTTGAGCCACAGCACCACTTCTGGTTTTCTGAGTGGTTTATTGGAGATAGGAGTCTCATAGAGTTTCCTGCTTTGAACCTCAGATCTCAGCCTCCTGAGTAGCTAGGATTACAGGTGTGAGCCACCAACACCTGGCCAGTTTTTGCTTTTAAATGCAGATACTTTAAGGACTTTTACATCTTGGAGAATTGACCCCTTCATTATTAGTTAATTGTTCTCTTTATACCTGAAAGCTTTCCTTTCTTTCAGATCTGTTCTGAAATGATTACAGTTACTTATATATTTTTATAAATTTTGTATTAACATGACATGCTTTTCTCTCTTTTTAAATTAAACATATATTTATATTTAGATTAGATTGCTTGTAGATAACATATAACTCATTTATATGTATATATGTATGTATTCACTCTGATAACCTTTTACTTGTCCCATTTAGAACATATATGTTCAAAATCATTAATGATGTGATTGGATCAATGTCCACCATTTTTATTACTATTTTCCACTTATTATTTTTGTTCTTTTGTTCTGATTTTACTTTCACTTTTTTGTGCCTTTGTGGTTCTGAGCATTTTCTGTGCTCCTGTTTTCTTTCTTTAGTTAGCATATCAATTATATCTTTTAAATATGAGATACAGATTTTTAGTGGTTGCTCTAGTATCTGCAGTATACATTTATAATAAATCCATTGTTAAATAACACTGGACCCCTTCATGAATATTGTCAGGGCATTAAAATAACAAAATAATTCTACTTTCTCTCTCTTGCTTCTTGTGCTAGTCACACACATCCATGTATAGTTACAACTTTTACACATGAAAAAACATAACTGAAGCATTATTGCTACTTTGAACAAACTATTATCTATTTAAGATTTATTTTTTCTTCTTGTCAGTCCCTTGGCTTAAACTCAGAGCTTAGACATTATCCTTAGGCTTTTTTAAAATGCTCAAAGCTAGCACTCTGCCACTTGAGGCACCAATCTACTTCTGGCTTTTTGGTGATTAAGTAGAGATAAAAGTCTCATGGATTTTTCTGCCTGGGCTGGCTTTGAACCACAATCCTCAAATCTCAGCCTCCTCAGTAGCTAGGATTACGTTTGGAAAAAGATCTCATATTATAATATATTCTACAATTAAACCTCTCTTGTTGAAGATCTACTACTTTCAATTTTTTCTCTTTAGAATTCATAGTGGGTGAAGTAATGCACTTAAAAATATGAAAAAAAGTAATAATGAGAGGTACAAGACACTATGTTGAAAATGAACTTTACAACTTGTGTGGGGGAGGAGTTGGGGAGGTAGGGAGGGAAGGGATGGTAGGGGAAAACAAAGGAGGAGGTAACAATGCTCAATAGGAAATGTACTCATTACCTTGCTCATGTAACTGTGACCCCTCTGTACAGCATTTTTACATTAAAACATATAAAAATATGAAAAAAATTGTTCTGGGGCTTGAACTCAGGTCCTGGGCACTGTCCCTGAGCTTTTGTGTTCAAGGCTAGTGCTTTACCACTTGAGCCATAGCTCCACTCCTAGCTTTCTTTTTTTTTTGTAGTTTATTGGAGATAAGGGTCTCATGGAATTTCCTGCCCAGGCTGACTTTGAACCTTTATCTTCAGATCTCACCCTTCTGAATAACTTGGATTACAGATATGAGTCACCAGGGCCCAACATGAAATGTTTTTGAGTCTCGCTGATCTTTTAATGCCTAGTTATGTGACAGGTTTTTAGGATAGTTCCACTTTCTGAGCTCAGTATCTCAGCAGAAAATGAAACAAACAACAATATGCATATTTATATGCTTCAGGCTATAGGAGGCTTACCAAGGGATTCCTTGTTTTGAAACTAGATAGCTACATTATTACTAACCCAAATGCAGTACCTTTCTTCCTTCTGTGTGGGTTACAAAGCTGGAAGAATGGACAGCTGCATTTCATCCTCAGGCTGCTAAGGAAGAATGGTGAGCAAAGAAGGGTCTGAAGTATCCCAGGGAGTTGGTCAGGGGAAACCAGAAGGCTTCAATGCTGGCCAGGGCTTGCCAGGTGGCTGCAAAGTCAATCTTAGACCCTGTGTGCTGGGAGCTGGAGCCCATCCATTAAGGCAGTGCTTAAGCCTGATCCAGGAGACTGGGCCAAGTCCTGGAGGCAGTCTCTGGGACCAGAAGGTATAACCAGAGGGAAACATGGATTTAAATTCCAGGGCATGAAGGAGTAGTTCAGCATATCTCAGAAGGGGCTGGAAATGACTTTTTTTTTTTTAAAAAATGAATGTTTGAAGGACACTGTCTCATACCAAACCCTATAAAATAAAAATTTTAAAAGATCGTGAGTTTTGTTTCTGTCTGTGCCCTGTGAAGCATATGTAACTTCAAAGGCAACTCTGGAGGGTGCAGGAAGAAAAGAGCACACTTTTGTTTCCAGTTTTGGCACAAATCCAGCGAACTTTTTTTTGATGCCGAGGAAGCAAAAACCTTATATTCCCTCTCAATGCACGTGCATTTAGCAGATCTACCTTAATTTTTCTGCAGACACCTGTTTAGCCAACTGTGTTGGGGTTTTAATTTTCAGGAAAAAGGCAAGATCATGCTGCATGATCTGCAATGAATAGCTCAGATCTGTAGGCACACCTTTCATTAACCTCTTCTTCCTTCCTATCCTGTCTTCTGTGTTTTAAATAGTTGTTTATAAGACTGCTTAACATACAGAACACCATTTTAATAGAAATCTGACCATGGAAGAGGGTAGTGTTCAGCGAGTTATGGCTTCAACTTGACTCTGTGTTTGTCTGTGAGCCCATAGTCATATGTGAGCATATGTGAGTACAAGATCATGTATGCATGTAATGTGTGTGAATGTGTGCCCATGTGTGCCTGCATACAGTGTGTTTCTGGAAACCCTTGGGGTTCTTGTCAACTTGATTGATGTTGAATGAATCCATCTTTCACTCATTAATACTCAGCTGTTCTTTATAGTGATCTGTGTGGTCCATTTTCTTTTTGGCCTATCTTCTGCCATGTCCCACCATCCTTCCATACTTGTTCTTTATGGGAGACAGCTCTGTTGATTTGTATATTTAATTTTGGCCTGCTTGTGATAATTGTTATTGTTATTTTACAAACTCTTTCCACCCTATCTTCTTGACAGTTTTCTCTGGCGGTGGTTGGACTTTTAATTGATCCACTGTCAATCTTAATGAACCTGGTATGATTTCATGGCCTTTTGGGTCTTTTGACTCCTCAGGTAGAAACTTCCATTCTGTATGACCTAGGTCTGATTATTATAGATCAAAGAAATTGTTAGCTTTGAGGGGGACAAGATATTATTGGCTTCAATGTCTCAGATATTGGACTTCTTTTTTCTTCCTACATTAATAACTCATAACTCATTGATCATTTTGCTAATCTTCATTGATGATATTATTTTAAACTTACAAATGACAGCAATACAATATTTACAACAGTTATATCAGTATGTTAAAAGCTTTTGCCTCCAAATAGAGGCCTTCCCTGAAGGATTTGCTTATGGTTAGGATGAACTTGTTTCGGTTTACTATTGTGATGTAAAAACACTTATCAAGTGGTCAAAGCATATAAGTTACTGCGTAAAACTTTATAAATATCAAGAAGTATTTCAGTCACTTGCAAGTACTGTCTGCTTTCTATATGCTTAAAATTGCATCAGATAGTACTGTGAACACACACATATACACACATATACACTCATATCACAGATGGGTCTGTTCCCTCAAATAGCTTACTGGAGAGAAAAACAAAAAGAACCACACATGGAATATTTATAGAATAACATAAGTAAACTTAAACCTAAATGTTTAGTTGGTTGGAGATTTACATAATAAGCTTGCTGGATAGACAGACATATGTAAATATATATATGTTGGGGATTATTATATATGTGTATGTATAAATACATACTGTATATGTTATGTACATACACAAAAATGTATATACATACATAGATATACATACATACACACATACATATATATTCAGCATAATTCATAGACTACATGAGTTGAAGATGCCATTGTGAAAGAGAAGGAAGAACTTGGACAATTTGTGAAAGGAGTGAGGGAGAAGGAGAGGTGAGAAAAGGAAGGTGAGTAAAATGGCATTTTCAAACCATGTTATTGCTTGTTGATTAAATAGTTTGGACTGTTTTCCAAGATTGAAATAAAATTATGAAATGACAAGCACTTGTATTTACAAATATGTTCTTTTTGGTTACTAGAACCAGCCAAAATACTTTTACTGAGTATCTTCTATGACCCTCCTAACTTCAAGGAGGAGATGTGAATTTTCATTTTTTTTTTGTGGGCCTGAACTCTGGGCCTGGGCGCTGTCCCTCAGCTCTTCAGCTCAAGGCTAGCCTCTACCACTTGAGCCACAGCGCCACTTCCGGCTTTTTTTCGTTTTGCTTATGTGGTGCTGAGGAATTGACCCAGGGCCTCAGGCATGCAAGACAAGCTCTCTACCACTGAGCTACTTCCCCAGCCCAGGAGATGTGAATTTTGACTTTTGGTCTTATGGAACTCACTATGAATATATGAGTGTTCACTGAGAAAAATTAGAAAATAAAGACAATAGTACATGGAAGAAATACTTGAGGGGAGTGTGGATGAATGTCTTCACTATGTTGTTTTCTCTTATTTCTCGTTCCCTTAGGAAGTTAATTTGTGATAGCTTAAGCTGCAATTTTTACTGATGACTCAACTATATTAACTATTTGGGATTTCATGCTCGGATATGGAGCATTTCCTTGTTATCTCAAAATTTAGGACACTGTTTCGCTTAACCAGATTAATTCTCCTTTTGATTTCTATTTTAGCACCATTGGTATAATCAGGCAGATTCAACTATTTTGACTACTTCTACATAGCCACATTTCTTTATGCTTCTCAGTTGCCATGGCTGCCCAAATATGGTTTGTGAGTATATCAAAGGTGTAGAAGATATTTTTAACCCAGTGAGCCCAAGTGTGCAAAGCCTGTGCAGTAGAGAGCAGGAAATGCAGCTATGTCCTTAGTGGTCTTTGATAAATCTTTCTTAAGGCAAGAGACCCAGTAAGAAATAAAATCCCTGTATTATTTGGGCTGAATATATATGAATATACATACTACCTAATATATATAATATATGACATATAACATAATATATATTATATAAAAATATATAAAACCTGTTGATTGGCTTCATAGTGGTATGTCAAATTATATGATTAAACAGTAGTTTGCTTTCAGTGTATTAGAAAATTTTAATGTCCATATATATGCATATATATATATATATATATATATATATGCTTGACTATATAGCTCTGACTGAACTCATAATCCTCAGTATCAGCCTCCCAAGTGCTGAGATTATAGGTATGAGCTGTCATGCACATCAGGAAAAGCTTAATATTTAAAGGAAACCTCTTATTCAATTTGTATTTTTTCTGTCACACTGTTCTCTGGACTGTTGTTGGGCTGTAAAAACATATTAATACATTGATTCTTAGTTGTATTGTTTCTGAGTTATCTTATTGTCACTTTTATTAGTGAAATAAACCATTATGTGTCATGCTTTCTTGTGTAGCATTGAAACAGAAATAACATAGCATAACATAGCGTAAGTATTCTAGATACTGAAGACAGGAGCCTGTCATAGGGTAACAGACTGGACTACTCCTCTCATTAAGATGTTATAATTTTATGGTGACTTATAAGAGGAGTATTTAGTATTTTCAACTATTCTTGTGAGGGCAATGTCTATATGCTGATTTTGGCTTTCTGCTTAGTACTTTGAAAGACCTAAGATTAAACTCTTAAAAATAAAAATATGTAGGGGGCTGAGAAGGTGGCTCAGTGGTAGAGTGTTTTCCTCACATGCATGAGGCCTTGGGTTTGATTCCCCAGCACCACATAAGCAGAAAAAAGCTGGAAATGGCACTGTGGCTCAAGTGGTAGGGTGCTAGCCTTAAGCTGAAGAGCTGAGGGACAGTGCCCAGGTCCAGAGTTCAAGCTCCATGACCGACCGAAACAAAAACAAACAAACATGTAGTGGCCAGGCATGGAGGCTCACCCTAGCAACCCTAGCTACTTGGGAGGTAGAAATAGGAGAATTGTAGTTTGAGACTAGCCTCAGTAAAAAATTTAGTGTGAACTCATTCAAAAGCCAGATGTGGTAGCTCACACTTAAGAATCCTAGTGACTTGGAGGTAGAGATAGGAGGATTGCTATCTTTGAAGTCACCCCAGGCAAAAGCAGGAGGCCATATCTGAAAGCCAAAAGAACTGAAGGAGTGGCTCAAAGGATACAAGTGTGTGCCTAGCAAGGGTGAGACCCTGAGTTGAAAATCCAAGTATTTCCCAAATGATAAACAAATAGCAATAAAAATACCCCCACTTCAACATCTAAGCATAGCACAATTGGATGAATATTCATGATTCACACTGTGATTATCAAATTAAACTATTTTTTTTTTTACTTTGCTCCAAGTTTTGGTAGGATGGAACCCACTGAAAGCCCTGGGTTTGGCATCAACGTGGCATTCAATCCAGAGGCAATAAGCCTAGATTTAGAAAACTACATACGTACATACCAAGGCGCAGGACATCTTTCCATAAAGAAAGAACTACATTTCCTTCTTTGACCTCAAGCTTTGTAAGACACGAGATGAAAGGATGTAAGTTTGAGATGTTTGATCTACATTGTGAAGGAGTTGCAGAGCCAAACATCCTTCAGAAATGATCTCCCGGATTTTCCAGCTATGCCCAACTTTCTCAGTTGGATGTTTCCCTAGCTCTTCCTTCTCCTTCAGAGAGGAAGTTGGAGGTTATTGTATGGTACTTGAAAAATCTCGTTCCTTTAGATCCCTTGCCAGTACCCCGTCATCTTGCAGAGACAGAGAACGTGCTCACATCCACAGCTTAGATGGTGGAAGGATTCCTTTGAACCAGATCCACCCTAGTGTGAATGCCTTCACACATGCCCAATGCTCTGACCTCAGACTTCATTTGGGCATGTGCTGCTTCCTATGGAGAACTTACTTCTCTCCCAGAAACTTTGTTTTCATTCTAACCCTTTCAGCTAGCTAGGCCCAAGTGTTTTGTTTCTTTCATCAAATATGCATTTTTTTAAACTCAAGCCTTTTGAAGAAAGTCTTGTGCTTACTAGGCAGGTGCGCTACCAGTTGGGCAATGTCTTAGACATTTTTGCTTTTGTTGTTGCTGTTGTTTTGACTAGGATCCAGAATTTTTGTTTAGGTCCAGCCTCAGATAGTGACCCTGTTACCTACATCCCCT